ACGACGACGACAACGCCGGACAAAATTTTTCCCTTAATATACCTTTCCCTTCCATCTTTGATGGTACGGGCAAGGTAATAAAATAGCCTAAAAGCATTACAATTCACTGGTCTATTATTCATGATATCATACAGGAGACGACACGTTTAGACTAATGTCACAGAGACACGCTGATACATGTACTTATTTTTCAAAACACTGTCTGTGTACATATCAAGCATTTGTGTGTTTTATACATTGTATTTACTCTAACTGCACAATGGTCATCATAGTTTACTTCAAATGAAATATTAGTAAAGTGGTACAATCCAAACAAAATGTTCTTTTATTAACATATCACAAGATCTCACCTTGCGGAGTACCTCTAGGGCTAGCTCCAGGACTGGGAGAATGCATTCTCAGTTTTTTACGAAATACTTCTCCTTCTCCTGAAGAATCTAACTGATGTGACTCATCAGGGGAAGAAGCTGATCCTTTGGTATCCTGGTGATCGACATCCTCAGCATCATTCTTTTTCTCTAAAGGCATCTTTGAGTTTTATCTGAAATATATATGACACATTAGGAATTGACCTAAAAATGAAAAAAATTAACAAAAAGAAAATCAGTTCTGTATGTGACAATAAAATCGTATAAAGAATTATTTTGACTAAACCGCAAATTAGTAGAAGGACGGTAAAATGATGACAAAGTTTCAACATAAAATTTTCATTGCTACAAAATTTGTTGTGATTTACAATAGTTTTTAAATCTTAAGAATGGGATTGTCACTAAAAACCAGAAGTTTGTGCATTATTTCATGATATGTGTTCTTCTCAGCATGGCAGTATACCACCACAGTGCATGGTTTTATTACCACTCTGGTCTGACATAACAACAGTTATGAATATTTCTTTTATTTGCTGACTTTTCAAATCAAATTGATAATTTTTGACGCAATAACAGTTTTATAAGTTTATACTTTATGTGCATTGTGTCATTAAGTACTGTTTCAAATACTACGTTCACGTTATGAGATCTCGGCACGTGCCGAAATTTTTAATCCGTTGTATTTGCAGAAACAATACAACAGTTGGGTTCACGTTATTCGGGACCCACTTAGAACTCACTCGGCTCGTGCCGAAATCACGCCCTCATTCCTCGATCTGTTGGCCCAAACTTGGAAAATGATACGCATATGATGATAATAATAATTGTTATAGTGAAATTATATCCATTTGTTGTACTGGTGTTTACTACGAGCCATCGTGAAAATGAACGGCAAAGAAGATTCGAAACACAATTATTTTGTTCACGTCAATTTAGTATTGCAAGAAAATAGCGGTTGCAGCAGCACATAAATATGCGTCGCTGACGATGGTTTGCATTCATTTCATTCATTACTACAGCATCCGACCATATACATGTACTAGTCATCATACTAGTATCAATCAACTTATCACTTATGTTTTTCTTAAATTCACCACCGAAGGCGTGATTTCGGCTTGTGCTGAACGTTCAGGCAGCAAATCTCGGCCTGTCGAGTTTCGGTCCCAATCATCTATCGCGACCGAGATCGAGTTTTTTTCGGCACGTGCCGACTCGGTCCCGACCGTTCACACACAAGTTTCGGCACATGCCGACTTTGTCCTGAGTCTCGGCACGTGCCAAGATCTCTAACGTGAGCGCCACTTATTCCTTTTTAAACTTTTGTAACCATTGCCAATCCCTCCGGGGAATGTGTTAGTGTTAATAAAATTATTATTATTATTATTATTAACCATCACAATTTCTGTTACGAATAATTATGCAAATGCTTGAAAATTAACACATCAGTGTTTTAAATTTTTTGATAAATACTGAGATTTGCTATACATTGAGTCAGATAGCTAAACAAGCAGCCTATCGGCTGAGATAGCTCCGCTGTTAGCAATGCACATTTCAATTAAAGAACAGAAGATATCATTAGAAAATGAACAATATGTATAGTATCAAAGCAATGGGACTTGCTGTTTTCAACAAGAAGTCGAAAATATCACTTTTTACCAAAAATGACAAAAAAATTCACCAAATTTAGAGAATTAAAGATATCATTACAAATTGAACAAATCTGAGAGAAGTCCACATGGAGTACCTATATATGTAATATCAAAGCAATTGGACTTGCGGTTTTTAACAAGAAGTCGAAAATGTCACTTTTTACCAAAAATGACAAAAATATTTACCAAAATTAGAGAATTGAAGATATCATCATGAAATGAACAAATCTGAGAGAAGTCTACCCAAGGTACATATACACCAAGTATCAAAGCATTCGGGCTTGTAGTTTTTAAGAAGAAGTCGAAAAAGTAAAACATTGACACGAACGACGACGGACAATCACTCATATGATAAGCTCCACTCCTCGACAAAGTCTTTGTCGACAGCGGAGCTAAAAACAACAACAAAAGAATCTGAAAAAACATCATCAAAGATGTCCTTGAACTCAGCCACAGTACAGTGTATATCAATCCATGCAAAGGTCAGCGATTTCCATTTGACCTACTTAAACATCAAAGCATATGAATATCTCTTCCAAAATGTTCAAGGTTTGCATTAAAAATAACCCAATTTTCCAATAAAGTATTTTAATGATCATGAAAATTTTTCATGCAATGGGGCTCTAATAATTATGTACCAGAAAGACACTGAATACTGTAAAACCATTTATTTTCACTGACATTTAATTTTACTATTTTGAGCATATTCACTGTGTTTTAATTTCACGAATTTGTCATATAAACAGTGACTTCAAATAAGTTCAGCCCCTGCTCCAAAATAGGAATTCCTTCAAACGAAGACTAAAAATGAAGGGAATCAAGGGCAGCATTTTCGTTACTGCCTCAAGTCACTTATAGAGTAACCATGGAGCTAAAAAAAGGTTCATGGAGTAACGAACAAAGCTGTCAACAGGCTGACTTATCTCGATTTGGGGAGGGGCCAGTTTTTACTTAAGATTACCATACTACAAAGCAGAGGGGATTGGCATGAGAGGGCGCCATCCAATCTGAATGGAACGTTTCGAAGTCAGTCGTCCGTAACCCATCCTTTTATGAACATATTAAATAATTTCAGCAATTTCTTTACAGAATAATCGTCAATAAAACTTGGAGACATCTCATAGAAAAATATAGGCTCTAAAATTATATCTAGTGCAATACAATTCAACTTACAGTCAGTTTGATGCCACAATTTCTTGCTGGAGCCTGAGTTCTATGCATGATTTCATTGCGTTGTTCCATTTCAAACTGCACATACACACACACTGGGGTTTCTCGAAATGCATACTAATTAGGTAACTTGTCACTGACAAAAGTCACTGAAAACATTTTGAGCAATAGTACTAGAGTAATATATAAACGTGCCTCTGCATTCTCCATAAATTTCGTAACTTGCTATAATCAGGGTAAAGAAAAAACCTGTGGTTACTTTCAACAGCTTGCTTGTATCAAAAAACACCTTTACATCAGTTGTTCTATATATTTTTTTCAGAATCAGTCAATTTTAGAATCAGTCAATTTAGAACTATCATGTATGCTATCGGAAAGCATTTTGGCACAATTTTACTGAAAAGAAGATTTGTTTACTGCTCATGAATATTAATTTATGCAAATGATATTTCCACTAATTGAGTCATGCAACTTCGCCCCCTGCTACAAAGTCAGTTCTGTCAGAGGGCACACTGTTGCAGACAGGCAAACAATTGAATGTATAAATACAAAGAAACAGTTTCAGGTGATAGGAGATTATAAATAGTCTGGTTGTTGTTACACACTGTTAATGGTTATGGCAGAGCTATTAGTGTCACAGTAAGAACAGGTGAAAGTAACAGGAAACAAGTTTAAATTCTTAATTTCATAATGGAATCTGGTTTATAAAATCAATCAAATCAAAAAAAAAAACTAAAAAATAATTCAGATTATATATATATATATTTTTTATTTGCTCTTATAGGCCACTGGCCCCTTTTGCTTATTACAATACTGATGCAACAAATCTTTGGTCAAAGGTCAAGTACATCTTGTCTCAACTTAAATGCATTTTGTATAAAACAGCTAAGTTACTAATAATTTCAATGAATTACATGACATTAAAGAATAA